TTCTTTGTAGTGAAATATTCTAAATTTCCCACAAAGTATACATAATAGGAAAAATTATTTAAATTATTATCAGGACAAACAAGACTGCTTGCCTCTGAGTCCGAAAAGTCAGGGACCTGGAGTCCAGTCTCTGCCATTACATATCTGACTACCTGACTTCAGAGAAGTCACTCCAAGTTCCAGTAAAATGACAGGAACTATGCCCATTCTGACAACGCCAGCAGGCTGCTATAGGAGCAGAGTACACAGCTCCATGCTGTGGAAACCCTTTCTTTGCTAACCAGAGCTCTAGAATCTCGTAAGCACACCTAGAGCCTCACCAGTGGTGTCTCACATTTTATTCCAAACCAGACGTGTATTGCTTTATTGGTGTCACACCTGCATAAATGTTGTTCAAGTAATAAAAAGAGAAAATAACCCACAAAGCGACAGCCTTTTTGTAATCTTATAAACATGCTACAAAAGTAATAAGAATGAATTTGGGGCTGTGATCGTAACTCTGTTAATGAGCAATGCCCATGTCTGAAACACCACCAGCTGGGAGCCCTAATTTTCACAGGGCATTTTGTTTGTTTGTTTGTTTTTTGGTTCCTTTTACATTTTTTTTCCAACACAATGAGAACTTCAGACCTCTGCTCAAGGCAGATCATCTGGAACAGAGCAAAACAGCTTACCAGATGCATCAGAAAGAAAGATGGGACCTTGAAAACTCTGAGCCTAACAGTCAGCTCTAGACCAAACATTTCCCCTGCCTAAAGTCAAACCAAGCTAGCAACCTCTTTCTTAAAAGGAACTACTAGGTAGGGTAAGTGCAAAGAGGGTTACAATCCCATGCAAGTGACACTTAAAAGTTACAGACAAGAAGGCACTGTGTCCATTGGCCCCATAGAGCCTATGGATGAGGGGGCAGAGAGGGGTGCCAAAATAGCAAACTTATTTTACAAATTTATGTTCAGATTTAGCCTGGGATGTTAGAATAGGTCAGCGGAAGAAAGGCAGCATGCAAACACATTTGTAGGAACTTTAGTTTATTCCTACTTTGGGAGACAGGTCTTCAGATGCATGATTTCCAATAAGGAGTCAGCTATCCAACAATAATAATTACAATCCTCAACAACTCAACTTCTTCATCAATGAAATGTGGATAATAATTAAGTTGCATCATAATTTGCTGTGATAATTCAATGGGATAATATAGGAACATACTGAGATCACTGTCTGGTACCTAGTTAGCTATCAATAATACACAATGCCGCATTACAGTTGAGCATACGTTATCCTGTTTGAGCATAAGAACAACTGTGTGAGGCAGGTTTTATTATTCTCACAGGACACTGGCTCAAAGAGATAAAAGGACTCATCTAGAGTCACACAGCTAAAATGTGACAGGTATCCAGTTGCTCTTAGGACTAATATTCCCTAATACTGGCTGCTCCAGAGAAGGCTGGAGTTTGAGCAGGTGACCTTTCCAGTTCAGCTGTGCTGTATGCCTGCGGTCAGAGATTCACAGTTCTCCAAGGCCTCTTTGAATATTTGGAGGCTGGAAACAGGTTTGATGTGGAAGTCAGATGAAACCCTTCTAGGACAGTTGTCACATCTGAACCCAGGAGCCCAGGTATGGCCTCTGGCAGCAGCACAAAATACATTCGTGACATTCTTATTTTCTACATTTAAAAAACAAAACAAAAAAACCTCTCAACTAATGATCCAAGGACTCTCTAGCTGCCTTAATTCATGAAAAATAATAGCTATCAATTGGTAAGTACTGCGTTAAATCCTTTACAGTCATCTCATACAATTCTCAATTGTCCTGGGGATGGGGGAGTGGCCTTGTCCCTATTTAACAAACAGGTAAAGAAACTAAGACTCAGAGAAGCTGAAGGACACAAAGCTAATAAGTAGCAGAGACTGAATTTGAGCCCAAGCCCCCAAAGAAATTGCCACACTGCTTCAACTAACCCCTCGTTCTCTCTCACCTCATTCCTGGGTACTCACAGGGCATAGACCTGGAACATTGGCTTCTTTTCCCTTCACCAGATACAGTACAAACCCTAGGTTGGAACTTGGTGCTTTTGCAAACCAAGACTGCAAGAGCTGCCAGGGTCTTTAGTCTGTTTGTCCTCCCCATCTTGCCTGAGTCAGAACAAACCATCAGACCACTCTTCTCTTAGCCTAGGGAGCTTCTCTTGCCACCCATCCCAGGAAAAGGCTCCCTGCCACAGCTGCTACTGAGGAACTCAGTAACCACCATCAACCAAGAGCCTCTTTTAAGAGGGAAGAGAGAAGACAAGCTAAAGAGCTGGTGCAGAGAGACAGGCTGCCCCTTTCCCCTGATAGCAGGGGGAGTCAGGCCCCAGGACGGAGGCGTCCACTGATGTTGGACTCACCATAGCCTGCTCCATCCAGTACAGACATTAGGAGCAAGACACATGGGGAATTTCCAAGCTAGCCCTACTCAGTCCTCTGTCCTCACAATCCATAGTGGCCATGATATCCTCACCTCACCATCCCACAGCCTGATAACTACCTCACTTTCCCCATAACCTATAACCTCTGATGCCCTCTCACTCAACTCAGTGCCCTAGGGACCCCACTACCCACCTACTCTTTCCAGAATCACCTTGGGTAGTAGCTGCCCCAGGCCATCTTGGCTGGGCCATTATCCACGAATATGCAGCCATGGCCAGCAGACCAAAAGGTGAGACGTTAGATGGCGGGCTTCAGTAGTTTTCATAACAGAAAAACCTTGTTCCTAATCAAGGCCATCTTCAAATCCTCAATTCACAGAGTACTAGCAGCTCAGGGCAGGGTCGGAGAAAGTGGCACTCTACAAGCTAGAGCCCAGTGTGTTAGGGGAGGGCTGCCACGGAGTGTACACACCACAAACCCAGGTGGCAGGGCAGGTGGCACTGATTGCCCAATAACCCAGGGTATCAGAGTCAACAGCCTCTTTAAAGCCAAGCCTTCCTTCACTCATTTTCTCCCTGGAAGGCTGGAGTGAGGTAGGGACTGGAGCAGCCCAGCCCATGGAGACCACAGCAGAGAGGCAGGCAAACTCAGCAAGCCAAGTTACGGAGAAAGGGGATAGAAAATTGGGAGGAAGGGAAGGGAGCACAGCAGCCTGTCTCGGAGCACCTCTCTGATACACAGCCCACACCCAGGGCTAAAATCTGCCTCCCTGCTCCTTGCCTCCCGTAAGCCCACCCTACTCCCCACACTTTTTGCCTTTGCCCTTCCCCGCTCTTACATAAACCCAGCCCCCTCTTACACTCCCCAGAATGTCAGCTTCCAAGACATGCTCATCTTCCTCATCACACTTACTCTACAGTCCAGTCCTTCGACTCTTCCGTTAACAGGACTGAAAACTGTCCTAAGCCAGCACATAGCTTCCCAGGTCTCTAAGGCACAATGCTACCAGGAAGGCTGAGTTTCACAACTCTTCTAAGGCCCTGGCTGGGTTAAAAAAAATCTCCTCAGGTCTGCCTCCAACCAACCCCCGTCCCTCCCACCTCCCCAGAGCCCAGCCTGGTCCACAGCCCTCCATGTAAGGCTGGGCCCTTGCACTCCCACTCATTAGGGCCCCACCCAGAAATACCCCAGCACACAAACAGGACACCTTGTACAACTATCAGTCTTAGACCCACCCTCCCTCTGACAAGGACAGGAGGGAAACTGAAACTGCCTGAGGGAGGAGCCTCACTCCACCTTCTCTATTTCCCACCTGGACCTCCCTGCTCCCCTCCTGCTGAGAGAGACAAGTCAGGTGATACCTGACAGACACCTCTTCCTCTGCCCACAGCCCCCAGGCCTGAAAATACACCCGAGGGCACTGGCGCAGCACGCAAGGAGGTTTTCAGGCACCATGGCTGGGACAGGGCAACATTTTTCTATTTTTCAGAATGTTTCAGACTCTACCTGCTGAGAGGACTCAGGTCTCCCACACCTGGTCTGGAAGCTTCTTCAGGAAGCTGCCTTGAGGAAGGGGATGGGAGTGAGATTCGTTTAGGAAGGCAAAGGAGGAGGGGTACAGGCGGGTTCTAAAGTATATTAAAATCTGAGGGATGCACCTTTCTGCCCTCCGGGAGGAGAGGGGGCGGTCCCACCGACAGGGAAAGCGGACCCCTTGGGGGGCAGTGCTCGTGCCTTGGGGGAATACCCTTATCCTTCCCGGGAAATAGACTGCAATACCTCGGGCTTAAACCTTGCCTAGCCAAAGTCAAAAAGGAAAGGGGGAGGCCTGCAACCCACCAATCTCATTTTCAGATTTCCTCTCTCCAGCTTAGACACATTAATAATTAACTTGCCTACCTAGGAGCTTGCCGGCGTTGCCATAAAAGATGAGTAATGGCACCGGAGTCCCAGCCCTATGCCCGCGGGCTTCAGGGCTCGGGGCTGGGACGGGCGCCTGGAACAAAGCCTCTGCATTCCTTCGGGAAGGTGTGTCTGAAACCAGAGCTGTCACAGGCGAGAAGCTGACCCCTTACCTCCTCCGTGGCCGACTCCTGGCAAGTGTGGGTGTAGAGGAAGGGCAGGCGCCCCGACACACTGGGCGGAACGCTTGGCGGGGTCGCCTTTGCCCACTTCCCGTTCCCCACCCCCTCCACTGCTGGCCAGTTGCTGTCCCCGCAACCCGCACGCCTGCGGGGCCGTGGGGTCCCCAACCACAGCCGATTTCGGGAAGCGGCGCTGTCTGCTGCTGAGATAATCCTGTTAACATGAACGCAGGCTGTACTTGGAGACCCGATTTTTAAAAACAACAGCAGCTCCCTCGGCGTCCTTCCCGAGGAGTAACCTAAAGCCGGGCGCCGGCTCAATGAATTCTCTTGCAGAAACTCCAGCGGCCAGCTACGGCTCCCTCGCTCATGGCTGGCCGGGGACTAGCCGGCTCCGGTCACGCCCGCGCCCAGACACAAAGCACCCCCAAAAGGAGCCCGTGCACCCTGCGCCCTGTCGGCTCAACAACCCGCAGATCCCCCGAAAGTTACAGCGCGCACACACACCTGCAGGCCCCCCTTGGCAGCCCCTGCCAGACCTCCAGCGTGGCGGGGCACGCGTCCCAGGGCTGGCAGCTCCGCGGCTCCATGCGACTGCTCCGCGAGCCCGGGCGGGCCACCGGTCAGCGGCGCTGGACTACGGAGGGCGCCGGGGCCTCAGCTCGCCCGCGGCGCATGGCGCGCCCTCCTCGTCCTCGCCGGGGCCTTTCCGAGGAGCCCACACCCACTTGACATCAGCACCGACCAAAGCACGTGGCGCAGCGCCAGACGGCGGACCCCAGCGATCCAGAGCGCGCCCCAGGTGCTGCCGCTAGACCAGGACGGTGCGTCCGAGCGCAGCACATTCCTTTCCTCGCAGAGGATGCTGCAAGTGGGAGGAGTAGGGAGACTGAGGAGGGGGAGGAAAACGCGCGGAGGGGCAGGACGGGCGGAGGGGCAGGACCTGCGGCCTCAGAACGGCGCTGTTCTGGCGTCTAGCCAGACAACAGCAGACCTGTCATCCGTTGCCGCAAGTGCCCATCGGCTGGGAAGACCAGGTTGCAGGAGACCCGGGCTGCTGTCGTCTCCCCTCCAAGAGTCCTGACCTTGAATTCTCTTCCCCAGAATGATTCATGGAGGCTTCTCTCTAACAACCCCTGGTAAATTAGGGGAACGGATTCTGACAAGCCAGGAATGAAGGCTTGGTTAGATGTGACTGCGACCCCATCTCCCAGGAGGCCACTATCAGGCACCCAGCGAAGCAGACCATACCCTCTGGCTTGTCTCTGCCCTGGCAACCTCAACTATGTCTCTTTTCTTTCTCTCTTTTCTCAATGCCCTTGGCAATAAGGGATCACTCTCCTGGTCCTGCAGGCAATCAGAACTACAGCACCTCTCAGCAGCCCAAACACACTTCTAACTCATTCATTAGCACCCGTCCAAATATTCAAACGTGCAAACATTTAAGGGTTAGTATATGCCAGGAGCAACAGATAATCTGCCTACACTCACAGTGCTTCTACTCTAGTCAGGGAGACCTATATTAAATACAGAACAAGGTAATTACCATTGTTGCAAGGGGATTACAGAGGTGCTATAAGAATGCACCCGGGAGCCTTAAGTCTTGGCAGTCAAGAAAGGGTCCCTGACGAAGTGATACTTGACAAAGCTGAGAGGTTACCCAGGGGGTGGGAAAGTTCAGGCAAAACCACTGGGTATTAAAGTGTAAGCTTGCTTCCATTCACAGGTGCAGATGATTAGGCAGAAGTGGAAATGCCATGCTAGGAACATCTGGGCTTTTATCCAGGTGGGGCATAGGGTGGCTCCCAGGCCCTAGAAGACAGCCTGGCTATCTGTCCAAAGACGCCCTTATGTCTGTTTTCTCATCTCTCCCTCAACCTTCACTTGAGGCACCAACTCAGTCATCAATTTGCTGTGTGGCCATACAGAAACCCCTTGCACTCTCTGGTATCAGTGTCTCTACCTAAAATGAGAGGTTGGGTCGGGCGTGGTGGTGCTAGCCTGTAGCGGTACCTAGTCAGGAGGTTGAGGCAGGGGCGGGAGCAGGGAGGGAATGGCTTGAGCCTAGGAATTTGAGACTGCAGTGATCTGTGATGCACTCCACCCTGGGTGACAAAGCGAGACCCTGTCTCAAAACAAAATAAAAATAAAATGAGAGGTTGGATTAGGACACTGTTTCTCCATATATTTTTTTAAACCATACTTCCTTTTGGATAAATATACAAATGACATTCCCATTCTTCTGTGGTGACAAGGCACCAAATTATTTTCCAAATCAAAAATTATAGTAGTGAATATGATTTTTAAAACTATATATGCCCTGTAAATATTAAGCAATATTCTGTCTTGAGATGTCTGCTGAAGATAGCTTGGAGGCCAGAGTAAAGAAATGGCCTCCAAGTTCACCCTTCTGTTATCTTTCCCCACCCTCCCCCACAACCCAGCCACCAGCACTTATCATCTCTAGCCTCCTTTCATGTACTCTTTCCAGGATAAATTGGCCAGACAATGAACAGAAGCCCTGGGTCATCCAAAAAAACAAAAAAGCCATGCTGTGCAAGACTCCTTTGAATAATAATTTCCAGTAATGTTGGCAAGAAGACACTTTGAAGGAAGCATGCAATGATCTTGGGGACAATTTGGCAATATGAATTAAAAGGCTTTAAAATGCTCATATCCTGTGAACCATCAATTCCACAACCAAGAATTTAGCCAGAATACTTCATTGTGGATGAGCACAAAGATTTATCCTCAAGGATGTTCATCTCATCATTTTCATAACAGCAAGTAATTGGAAATGATCTAATTGTACAACAGGAAATTGGTTAATAAACTGTGGTACATGCTTACAACAGAATACATACAACCTTTAAAATGATTATTAAATACATACTGTTGAATAAGACAAAATGTTACAAAACAAATCATCCCAATTGTGTGTGTGTGTGGGGGGGGGGGCGGTCTGTTGGGGAGGGAGGTGGTAAACACCTGTGTTCATTTTTCTTACTGGTTGACTCAGAATCTACTATCTGAGGTAAACTGTGATGCCACTATGGCATGTCATCCTCACAACAAGTAAATTTATCAACCCATATTAAAGTTATAGAACCTTAACATTAAAACAGAATGTGACCTAGGCATGGTGGCTCACGCCTGTAATCCTAGCATTTCGGGAGACTGAGGTGGGAGGATCTCGAGCCCAGGAGCTTGAGGCTGCAATGGGCTATGATTGCACCACTGCACTCCAGCCTGGGTGACAGAGTGAGACTTTGTCTCAAAAACAAAAACAAAAAAACAAAAAACAGAATGAAATAAACCTTACAGGCAAGCTGGAACAGAATTCAATTTTCCACTACCATCTACTCCCCATTAGGGGTTTGATAGTAATCTTAAAGGTAGATTGGTTTTGCCCCCAGATTTTTTTTTTTGATTTTTATTTTGAGACACAGTATTCTTGCTCCATCATGTTAGTGCAGTGTTACAATCATGGCTCACTGCAGCCTCGACTTCCCAGAGCCCAAGCGGTCCTCCCACCTCAGCCTTCTGAGTAACTGACACTATAAGCGTGTGCCACCATGCCCGGCTAATGTTTTTTTTAATTTTTTTAGAGACAGAGTCTCACTATGTTGTTCAGGCTGGTTTCAAATCCTGGGCTCAAGTGATCCTCCTGCCCTGCCCTCTCAAAGTGCTGGGATTACAGGCATGAGCCACCGCACCTGGCCCTTATGTAGATTTTTGTTGCTCTTAAGTCTAATTTTAGTGTGCATAAAAATTACTGTCCATGGTAGTTTAGGGTACACATTTGACTTTATGAGTTTTTTTTTTTTTTACCATACACTACAATTTTAGAACCTAATCATTGTTTGAAAGTTCAGTTAATAAATAAATAAATAAAAGACTACTAGAGGGATATTTACCAAAATGTTAACAATGTCAGGATTACAGTTGATTTTTACTTCCTCCCTTTGAATTTTCTGTTTTTGAAGTTGTCAGACAATGAACATATATTACTTTGGTAATTTACAACATAAAATGCTGCTTTAAAAACTGCATTTAAAAAACTCTCCAAAAGATAAAATAAAAAGAAACTATCCCTTGACTTTTAAAGGGGTGACTGACCATGCCCTTCACATTCTTCCCCTCTGCAAGCTTTGATACAGCCCCAGTTGGTGCCCCAACACCCAAGGACAGAAAGTACATCGTCGCTAGGATACCATGCAGGAAAAATTGGCAAGAAAATTATTTTTACATTTACCTCCTGGGCTATGCTTATAATAATGCTCAGAAGCTTAAACTAAAGGTTCCAACATGAAGCAGCCATGAACATCAGCTAATGGGTCTGTCCCCTACTCCCAAAACTCTCTACCAAATATTCTGGGTTCTTAATAAGCTGAGAGCATATAAGGCATACACCTTTGGTCCTAAGGACCCAAAACTGTTCACCTTGCTTTTCTCACACCTGGTGTGCCACCAAGCACACAGGCAAGAATCAGCTGAATAACAGCAAGCCATAGATAAGACTGGGCTCAGTAATAACTGGTTGGGTGATCTCTGCCTCCCCCTCTCCTTGGTAAATAGCCTAATAAAGCCCCTACTTTCCTTTTAGGGGGTAGATGTAAAAACTCTTGAACAAAGGGAACTGCACCACCTCAGTGTAGGGGATTATTATTTAATGAAACTATGTACTGGGGCCAGGCGTAGTGGCTCACGCCTGTAATCCCAGCACTTTGGGAGGCCGAGGCGGGTGGATCACAACGAGGTCAGGAGATCGAGACCATCGTGAAACCCCATCTCCACTAAAAATATAAAAAATTAGCCGGGCATGGTGGCAGGCGCCTGTAGTCCCAGCTACTCAGGAGGCTGAGACAGGAGAATCACTTGAACCTGGGAGGCGGAGGTTGCAGTGAGCCGAGATTGCGCCACTGCACTCCAGCCTGGCAACAGAGTGAGACTGCGTCTCAAAAAAAAAAAAAACAAAAAAACAAAGTATCTGCTGGGATTTTTTGGGGAGCAGAGAGCTGGCCAGTTGTGGGTGCTTTGGCTCAAGGCTGTTAAACTACAAGTTGCTTCACATTTTTAGCTTTCCATGAATCTAGGGGGCTCACAGACCAGAGGAAGGAACAGAGGTAAGAAAGACAACTCTGTTGACTTTCTCTTGTGGCATTACCCAGGAACCCTTAATCCAAGGACTGAAGGCAGGTAGGATTAAAACTCCAAGCTGAGGGCCCAAGTTTCTCAAAACACTATAGGTAGATGGGCATGGTGGCGCCTGCCTACAGCCCCAGCTACTTGGGGGGCTGAGGCAGGAGGATCCCTTGAGCCCAGGAGCTAGAGATTAGAATGAGCTATGATTGTTCCACTTCACTCCAGCCTGGGCAACAGAGAAAGACCTTGTTTCAAAAACAAATCAATAAAAAATAAAAATACAATAGGCAAAACCACCAGGACAGGATCTAAAGATAAGGGATGCTTGTATTATTTGACCACTTTAATTCAATAATCATTTAATCCCTTACCCGTCATTGCAAATACCAACATTCTCTGCTCAAAATAAAACACGTGATTTCCAAGCCAGACAGAGCTGCCATTAGGTTACATTTTAAATTCACCTAGAGTCTAATCAAGCTAATTTTACTGTTATTGTGTCTATTAAAACATGAGGCCTTTATTTAGAGAGTGAACAGAGGGGAGGAAAGCACAAACATTAAACGCTGGGAATCTGGATCATTCCAGAATTGCTTCTGGGAGGAAAGTAACAAAAACTAACCTGAATTTTAAAAATAATTTTAATGGGACCAAATGCATCACAAAGTTCACCCATTGGAGAGCTGGCCAGTGCCTTAGAACCAGGCAACAGCTCAGGGACAGA